ATCACAGAAAACCTTTCTCTTGCCAAATGGGGAAAATGATGGTTCTTTGGGTAAGACAAAGTAAAAGCAAACCAGAAACAAATAACAATATTATAGGAGACAAGTCTATGAAGAACCTTGAGGAAATAGCCATTTGGGGATCTCACTATTCTTTGAGAAACACCAAAGGAATGTATTACACAGGTGGGCATGGTGGCACACACCTGTCATCTCAGCCTTCTGGGAGGCTGAAGCAGAAGGGCCACAATTTTGAGCCTAGCCTGGGCAACTTATCAACTTAGTGACTGTCTGTTTCAACATTTTTTAAAAAATTCTGGGAATATATTTCAGTAGTAAGGCCCTAGATTCAGTTTCCAATATCACCAAAAAAAAAAAAGCACATGCTTGATCTGATTTATAACTTCTGGCCTTATTAGCAGTCACTCCAGAATTTCCAATGCATTCAGAGATCACAATACAGAAAAGGTCAGCATCTGTTGCCTAACTTCTTACTGGATTTACTTGTTTGTACTTTCTTCTCACACTGTAAGTGTGGCAGTTTGTGCCCTCCTGGTGTAGTCACCAGCCAGAAATCCATACAAAGATCTATAAAAGACTTATACAAAAATCTACAAAAATCTGAAAACTAAGATATATCATACTAGATGAAATAGAGCAGTATTTGTCAGGCCCAAAGAAACAATGAAGGATGTCATCTCTTTGCAGGAACTAGATATTAGATCTCAACTCAGGCTTAAGTCAAAGTAAAAATTGAGTGTTTATTCTCCAGAGCCACATAAAGAATAGTCATCTCAAACCAAGAACCCACATTATGAAAAATGATAAAATAGAAGCTAGTAAGATACAGTAGTTAATAAAGGAAGATTTGGGTTTTAGATGAACCCAGGTTTCAAATTTCATTTCAGAAAATTACAAGCATCTGACTTTGCTCAAGTTATTCAATCAAAGCCTAATAATAATCCAGTTGTCGTGGTACATACCTGTAATCACAGCTCTGAGGGAGGCTGAGGCAGAAGAATTGGAAGTTTGAGTCCCATTTGTGCAACTTAGTGAAGTTTGAGCAATTAACCTCAAAATAAAAAGTAAAAAGGGCTAGGAATGTACCTTAGTTTTAGAGCAAACATGGGGTTAATATTCAGTACCAAAAGGGGAAAAATCCATACTAATTCCTACTTTGGGAGGTGGCTGTAAGGAATGAATACTTGATGTATAGTAAGCCCTTAGTAAATGCTAGCCCTTTAAGGAAAAAGCTAGGTTGCTGCCATTGACAAGTGCTTTACAGGATTCTGAATAAGCAATACAATTCTTAGGCCCTGGCAAGAAGGACTTCTAACCTGAGACACATGCTTTAGTGGATGTCTCCTATTACAAATACTCAAAAACAAACTTATTAAAGAAAGCATGGGCACTTGTGCCATTCAGGATGCAGTGCTCATTGTTAGCACAAGACATGACCTTGAACTTCTACTTTCACGATTAACATAACACAAATTTAAGAAGTGTACTTTTTATCTCATGCTCTGTGTTCTTGAAACAAAAGGCAAAGGCATCCAGGTGCCAGGAAGGTTTGTGAGCTGTGCTGCTGCTGATGTCAGACTCTGCTTGGGAGTGCAGGGAGAAGATGAGGGGTAGAAGTGCTTAGTATGAGAAAAGACAAATTAGCTGGTCAAATCCTTCTTCTCTCAATAGCAATAAATTCTTCTGTAATAATGACTGTTTCTCAAGTGGAACAAGCATGGGCTTTCTCACTTCTTTTTGTGTTAGAATTCATTGTTGCTTGATAAATGTGCTAAAGGGAGCTCCATTTGTACACTAACCCCAAGCCAGTAAAAATTAAAAGCTGGTTTACAGTAAGTGCAGAAAGACGCAAAGAACAAATGAGATTTGACAATTGAGAGGCAAAAGTCATCATTATTTGCTGTTAACTTGATTGTCTGCCCCAGGAGCACCCAAGACAATCAACTAAAACATGAATAAATTTATGGAGCAAGTTCAGAAAAGAGTTGAATAAAGTGTCTGAATAACAATCAATAGATTTCCTGTAGGCCAGAGCAACAACCAATTAAAGGATAAAAATGAGGATAAATGTATTTATGATGACAAAAAAGACAAAATCCCTAGGATAACTCTTCTAGAAATTCATGTACTCAGCCAGGCATGGTGGTATATTGTAGCTATTTGGGAGACTGAAACAGGAGACTCACTTGAGTCCAAGAGTTAAAGGCCAGCATGGACAATATAGCTTAGGTACTATACAAATAAAACAAGAAACCGGGTGTGGGTGTGTATGCCTGTAATCCCAGCACTGGGAGGTGGAGGCAGGAGGCTTGCTAAAAGTGCAAGTCCAGCCTAGGCTACATAGTGAGTTCAGGAACATCCTGAACTGTACAGTGAGACCCTATCTCGAAAATCAAAAAAGCAAAGAAAACAAGGATATTTGGCCCTTAGTACTTAAAGGGAGCTATAGATTATGGGTCTACAGATTCAATGAAATCTTTTTCTAAATTCCAAAGTCATTCTTCGCAGCAATAGAAAAAAAATTATAAAATTCATATGAACCACAAAAGGCTCAAAATTATCTAAATAACCTTAGCTAAAAAGAATAAAGCTGGAAGTATCATACTATCAATCTCAAAATACATTACAAAATTATAGTAATCCAAACAGCATAATACTTGCAAAAAAATCAACAAATATAACAGGATAGAGAGCCCAAAATTAAACTTGTACATCTATAGTCAATTGAAAATTTTACTTTTGGTATTGATGATTGAATCTAAGGCCTTCACACTGAACTATAGTGTGGAACCCTATTTTAGTTTTTATTCTGAGACAGGGTCTCACTAAGTCATTAAGATACCCAGGTTGGGGTCATATTTGTAATTCTGCTGCCTCAATCTATCAGACTGCTAAGATTATATGCACAAATACAGTCAGTTGATTTTATTTCAGTCTATTGATTCTGTACAAAGACACCAAGAATGTAAAAAATGGAGTAAAGATTAATGTAACCCCTGAAAATATCAAAGTACTTGAAGAAAATATAAGGGTAAATATCTATGTCATTGGTGTTGGCAGAAATTTCTTGGATATGACTCTAAAAGCATAAGTAATAAAAGCAAATATAGACAAATGAGATTGAATCAAGCTAAAGGTTTCTGCACAGTAAAGGAATGGTAAAGTGGGAACCCACACATTGTGATAAAATATTTGAAAATCGTAACTGTAACTATTAAATAACAAATCTTACTCTACTGCATGAAAACAAATCACTGTTTGAGATCCTATGGGGGATACATCAAAGTGATTCCTCTTTTAAACTGCTTATTATCTTAATGGATTTGTAAAATGGATAAGGAAGGAAGAAACAGGAAGAAATTACATTCACTGAAGTATTATTATGTTTTAGACCTCTATTAGACAATTTGCATGTATGACATTTGTTTGCTTTTTCAATATATTTTATTACTGTTTATTTTACATAAAATATTGAATTTCAACATGGCGTTTTCATGCACATGTGTAACATTTTCATCATATTTATTATTTGTGTATGTTGGGGGGGAGTTTCTGGTGATCAAACCCAGGGACTCAAACATGCTATACAAGAGCATTACCATCTCCGGCCTACATGCCTAGAATTCTTTTTTTTTTTCTGAGATAAGATCATACAATGCAGGCTAGCCTTGGACTCCCCGTAGCCCAGGCTGGCCTTGCACTCAGGGCAATCCTGCCTCAGCCTCCTGAGTTCTGGGGTTACAGCTGTGTGCTACCATGCCCAGCATGCCTGGAATTATTAGTGATCCTTTAGGACATACATTTCTGTCCACCTTTTATAAATGTGGAAATGGAGGCTCAGATAAACAAGTGCCTTTTCCAGATTTACACAATGTCAGATCTAGGATTGAAACTCTGAACCTTCTGGTCCAAGAATACCGTGTATGTGCAAAATCAGGTAAATAAGTGCCATATTAATGGTACAAAATATTATAGGAGAGGCATAGAGCAATAATTGAGAACGTGGGCTCCAGAAATGACTGTGGAGGGGGAGGAAAGGAAAGGGAAAGGGAAATAAAAGGAATTAAGATGTGTTATATACATGCACCAACTCCCTATGACGAATGTAATCATTATGCACTGCAAACATATAATTCTACTAATAATAATTTTAGGACGACTGTCTAGGCTTGAATCCTGGCTCTCTGCTCTTAAAGAAATCACTTAACTTCCCTGAGCCTCAATTTCACCTTCCATAAAATAAGAAGTCATGCTTAGTTCAAGGTGTTGCTGTAAAAATTAAATGGATTCATGCAAGTAAAGAACAGTGTCTTACACCTACTAAAGCATCAGTAAATATTCTGTTTTGTTATAGAAAATAGGAGGAAAAATTATATCTAGCTGGGAATGAATTGGCAGACTATATGGAAGAGGTGACACTGGGGAAAAGGTTGAATGCTAATGAAGAGTCTTGAAGGAAAGTAGTGATGAACAAAGTAGGGAGTGATAGCAAGCTCGGTTAATGTGGAGCCGTAAGTTAGCAGACAGTTTGGGAACCATTCGAAGCTTTAGAGGACCGGGAAAATAAAGCCTTCGTAAGCTATAGTCAAGCCTGGCAATTGCAATTTGATCCTCCACTGTTACCAACATCAGACATCAGTGGACTTTGAGGACTAATATTTTGAGGAAATAAGAAGAAAGGGAGAGGTGGATAAAAGGGAGTAAATACTAAAAGAGGCTTGGTGACAGAAGAAGATGAAATGTGTGCCTGGTGGAAAGTGGTTGGAAGCACACCTTCTTTAATTCCTCACTCTGGGGCCACTCAGTGACTGAACTTTACGCATAAACTTTCTTCTCTTCTTTTAAAATTTGAAGTTCCCACCTCAGTTTCAGGTTTCATTTCACTCCCGGACGTTCCTTTCGGTCTGCGAAGTGCAAGCGTAGGGCATTAGGACCCAGCAAGTGTTGTAGTGAGAGTGGTTGAAACTCGATCTCTCAATTTTTCTCTAGAGCTCCTCGCTCTCCCTTTGTCATTCTAGCTGCCTGCTGCCTCTACAGCTTCGCTCTAGCTCTCCCCGTGCTAACTGCCCGCGCTGAAAGCAGAAGGATTAGTTGGGACCTGCCTTGTGACCTCATGGCATCCCCCAGAACCATAACTATCGTGGCCCTCTCAGTGGCCCTTGGACTCTTCTTTGTTTTCATGGGGACTATCAAGTTGACCCCCAGGCTCAGCAAGGATGCCTACAGTGAGATGGTAAGTGAAGCAAAAGGGTGATGAGGTGCGCACTCCTGTGGGACTGCAAGTACCTCTCCCCTTCTTTCACCGTCTCTGGTCCCATCCCCTCAGCCTCTACCCCACCCCAGGTCCTCCCTTAGCCACAACAAGTTTACACCTCAGAAGGAGCAGCCGGACAAGAGTGATTTCATCTGCGGGCTCTGTTGGGAACAACTGTTTTGGAGCCTCTGAATACCAGCTGGGGGAGGGGCTGCCCAGCGAGTACCACCAACCACAAGTAACCCTGAATGCTGAGATCGGCGCAGCACCTGCAGCAGGAGCCTTGCCGTCTTTCCAGCACACACCCAAAGTCCAGACCACCAATCTGCACGGACTGACCCTTTCCTTTAGAGCTAAGAGTTCAGCAAACTAGAGAGTTCGTTTATTTTAGGGAGGAACAAAGGGGAAAGAAGGGAAGAGCTGAGAAGATTGGGCTAATAAAATGAGCAATTTGTGAGGGCTGGCTAGATATTCATCCCAAGCAGGGAGCTCATAGTATTCTTCCAAGTGCCTAGGTATATATCTGGATCCTGGAGACAAAGCAGTCTTAGCTCAAATAAAGGTCACTGAGCTCTTGCTTCTGCCCCTTCTCTTAAGAGAGCTGGATGCTTTGTTTTATTTTGTTTTGTGTGTGGGCAAATCACCAAAATTCAAAAAGTCTGCCCTTTCTGTCCTGATCCCCACTGTACCTCCTGTAGGTGCCCAGGGCCAGGCCCTCTGCAGGGTTTCCCCTCTGCAGAGCTGGAATCACCCGAAGGTGACTGGACAAAACATCTCTGCAACCTGGGGGCTGGGCTGCTTTCCTCAGTTGGGTGTGATGAGGAATTGCTCTTACATTGTGAGGTACTAGGAAAAGGCCAGGGACGCATCCAGCGCTTTCGGTCTCTTGCCTCTCTCCCTGTCACTTTGCTTCTTCATTTCCTGGGCACCGCTGAAAAAACCGCTCAAAGCCTTTTCCAGACTTCCAATAGTGGGAGGGAGCACAATACTGAGCTCTCAAGGTCAAGAAGGAAATGAGCTTTAGGAAGGAGGACAAGGGAAACAAAAAAGAGCAAGGTGTCCCTGTTAAGGCTGAGGCAGGGCAGAATAGCTTTACATGTTGAGAGGAATTAAACCCTCTCCCAGAGCTTATTGCACAGCTTTCCAAGGTCCCTCACCATGAGCTGCAAATGGATGGAGACTGGCAAACGGGAGATGCCCTGAAAATGTTAGCAGGCAGCTCTGCCTTCTGTCTCGGGATTTGAGTTTGAACTCTCCATTTCTTTCTTACCACAAAATTACCCTGCCATGGAAGAGGGTAGATGAGACTCAAGGCTTAGGAATAGCCCCAGTGGCAAATCCTAATATGCCTCTCCTTCTCCCCTCCGCTCCTTTTAGAATGTTTGACCAGATGGAATTGAAATCAGGTCAAAATAAGTATCCTCAGCATCCTGCATAGATGGGGGTTGAGGTAGCGAGTGTGAGGTAGCAGAAGCTACCAAAGGGATTGAAGAAACTAGGGCAGAAGGACAGCATGGAGGGGAAATGCCACTCTATTTTTGTCTTGTCTTATAGTGTAGTGTTAGGTTATAAATAAATGAATATGCTCATGCCTTACTTTTTATGTGGAACTATACGTTTATACTTGTATATACTACATGTGTTTTTAAGCTTTTTATTTCATTAGGGACACAGTATGTTCTCCAGTATACTCCCTGCCCTCTAGACCTTGCTCAGCTGCCTTAGAGGTCCCCCTAGGAGGTCCCCTAAATACAGTGTTAGGCTGTGCAGGCAATCCAACTAAGATGGAGTCACCGGCAAGCTTCCTACTAGGTTGGCAGGAGCTCTCGAAGAGGATCAGCCCCAAATGGATTTACGGTAGGTTTCCTCCTAGGGAGTAGAGCTGTTTATTGCTTCCTAACCAAAAAAAAGAGAGAAGAAATAAACATGAAGATTTCATATCACACACAGGAATATATTTAAATAGTTATAATCTAGTATAGCAGTATAGACCCATTGTGTGGAGTGTGTGTGTGTGTATGTGTGTGTGTGTACACTTCCATACCCATAAATTTGATGCTTCTGTGCTTGGGCATCTGGAGGGCATCTAGAAAAACAGTATGTAACTGCGCGGTAGGAGGTACAGTGGTACGAAGCTTGAGGAGGATTTTCAAACTTCACTTTTCCAGGGTCCACCCACACTGAGCATCAGTCCAGTGCATAGTGCCTAAACTTGGCCCAGCTTTGTTATTTATCCCATAGGAAAGTAGGAGATTTGGTTCTAGAACAAAGAAGGTGATAGATAGATAGATAGATAGATAGATAGATAGATAGATAGATAGATAGATAGATAGATGAATGTTATTATAGCATTGCCTTGGCTAGTCACCCTCAGATTTTTCTGGTTTGCACTTGATTACGCAGTTCAGAAGTCATTTCTTGCTTCTTGGAAGGACCAACAGTCCCTCAGAGCCCCAAGCCTATATCAGAAGGGAGGACTGGAATTGCTGTTTTCCATTTAGAAGTGAGTCCTCTGCATCGACAGTCATGTGTTGACTGCAGTGGCATTTCTCATAAGATCTCAGAGTGTTGTTGCTGCTATTATTTTTTAAAAATTGCTTGCTCTTTAAATTATTTATGGGAGGTAGATTCCTTTTACTAATTATTTTTATATTATTACCAGGTACATTGAAGCCAAACAAGTTTAATGACTCATCCAGGATCTTTGATAAACTATTGAAACACAGAGACCAAGTTCATGACTCAGTACGCCATGTAGTGGGGTCATTAATGGTTGAAACTCTTGGCTATTCTGGATGCCAGAACCTACAATTGACCCTTGAGAAATCTTGCACCACTTTTATTCTGTATCAGTTCAACTCCTTAATCTATAATTTGGGGCTCTGTTTTACTTCACAACCATTTTTGTCTATAGGAGGGACATGTACTGGGGAATGACCAAGGCTTTCACAGTGAGTTACTTCTTTACTACTTCTTATTTTTCTGACAGTGTCTCACTAAATGGCTAAGTTGCCCAGGCTGGGCTCGAAGATGTAATCATCCTGCATTGTTCTCCCAGAGTTCTGTAATTACAACCATGTGCCACCAGTTTGGCTTCAGAAACAACTTTTTAAAATTTGATATTAGTTTTTGCCTTTCTGCTATTTTTCTCTTGTTGTAAAACCATTAGTGTTATGCTTAGATGTTATCCCCACCAAGGAGAGTCACTGTTATAAACGAAACAGACCAATAACTATAAATTTTTTCTCTGACTCTATTGGAGAAGCCAGGAAAGATTGGTGGAAGGACTGTAGGCTTTGGATTCATACAGGGTTCTGTTGGAGTACTGACACTCTTAGTGTTTTAGTCCTCTTATTCATAAAACAGGGATAATGATAACTATCTAATAAGTTGTAAGTACTAACTGAAATTGCATATGAAAGTGTCTGGTGAAGTGTTTGCTATGATAGGGGTGGGAGAAGTGCTCTGGGTGAGGTGATGATAATTGATTTTATTTTATCCAATGGCCTTCTAATTAATTTGAACAGTCAGGTTAAGAGATTGAAATCAGGCATTTAAGGGCCAGCCAGATAACTCAGCTGGGTGAAATGCCTGCTTACACAAGTGCAGGGACTGGGGTTCAATCCTGGCATGCCATACCAGCCCCACCCCTGGGGTGCGCTGAGATGGTGACTGAGACTGGGCGTGGTGACACGTGCCTGTAATCCCAGCACTTGGGAGGCTGAAAACAGGAGGATCACTATGAGTCTAATGTGTATAGTAAGACCCTATAGACCCTGTACTAAATACATTTTAAAAAAAAGAAACCAAGCATTTAGAAGAACAAGATGCTATTTTCAAAGGCACTGGTGAGCAGGAACATTGGGCTATCAACTAATATTGAAAAGTTGACTTGCTATTGTGCAAAGATGTATCTCTGAGTAGGTCATTTGGCATGTGCTGCCTCACACCTCCTGCACAATAAGCTATTACTATTATCATCATCATCATTAGACATTTTTATATGGGGTCATGCTATATAGTTCAGGCTGGCCTTGAACTCCAAATATAGCCTGAGGTAGCTTCAAATTCATGAATTAGAGTCATGCACCATTGTACACAGCCAAGAAAAAGCAAATACTAAAAAATGTTCTAAATTCAACAAGTCCAAAATGATGATTCACTCCTTTAACTAAATGCCTTTATTAATTCACTTGAGCTGTGCAACAGTGCTTTATACGTGCTGCTAAGTACTTCTGTGTTCAGTGGCTGGGAATATATGAATGGTTAACTTGGATAAAATTTGGTATTCAGCTTTCTATACTAGTGGCTCTATTTTGTAAGCACAGGGGACTGTACATGGAATGATGAGAAGACACCAAAATTCTGTCACACAGAAGCCAAAGAATTTTGACCCTGAGCATCTCTCTCTCTCTCTCTCTCTCTCTCTCTCTCTCTCTCTCTCTCTCTCT